GGGTGGGGGATGGGTGGGGGTGGAGAACGCCAGGAAGGAGACATACATCAGTCTTCTTCTCCCGGAGGAAGGAACCCAGCACCCCGATGGGTTAGGATCGCAAATCCAGACGTCACTGAGGACCGATGCAGAAAATAAGCTGGTGGCAGTTTTTTGGTTTGTTTTTAGAAGAAATATTAATAGGCACGTGATTTTTTTCTACACATATTTTCTGATTAAAACACACAACCCCTGTGCTGCAGTGGTCCAGCTCAGACTGTAGACACGGGGGCAGAGGCGGCAGCTGGCTCCTCCAGCCGTGGCCCCTCAGAGCCCTGTGGAGCAGCGCTCCGCCGGCGGGGTCTGTGAGAGTCCACGTGGGGAGTTTGGGTCTTTCTGTCGGGAGCATGTGGGCTCCAAGCCGCCCAGGGGCGCCATCCGCACAGTGCCTGGGTATTCTCCGCCCACCCCTCCTGGCCGCCCGTGTCCCAGTGGGGCTCCCACAGCTGGTTTTCTGAACCGTGTCTCCAGGCCTGTCTTCCCAGCAGGCGCATCTGGGTGAACTTGAAGCTCCACTCCAGCCTTGGTGTTGGCAGCGCCCCCCTCCACCCACTGAGCTGCTGGCAGGACGCCCACACCAGCCCCATGCCGGCAGAGGAGAGCTGGGGTTTTCGGGGTGTCAATGCTGTGCCTGTTCAGAAGCAGAAGGACGGGCCTTTCCGAAGAGCCGTCTCTGGGTGGGTGCAAACACCCAGCATTAAATCATGGACAGACGAGCCAGGGCTTACCACCCCTCCCAGCCCCCACCCCAGGCTACGGGAAGCTCCATGGGGACCCGGCCCCAGTGGGCGGGCGAGCGCAGGAACGGTTGGTTCCCTGGGAGGACTTGGGTCAGTTGGACGCGAGCAGGCGTTGGGCTACTTTGCTAAGCTCTGTTGCCTCTGCTAATCGCGTGCTCTGGGTGGTTCTCAAAGGCGGAATCCCTGTGGTTACATCATCCCCGAAGGCACTGGGCCTGCTCTGGGGAACAGGGTGTAGCCCTGGGCAGGTGCCTCCGGGTTTCCTGGGAGCTGGGTACAGAACCAGGCCGTAGAGACTGGTCATCCCACCCTGCGGGCTGGAGGGGTTCTCCCTGCAGAGCAACAAGTGCCTCACTCCCACCATGGTGGCTTGGCCACGCAGCGCTGAGACACGTGACTAACCACAGGTCTGGGGTCCAAACCGCGGGCCCCTCTGGTTTCCACCGAGAACCCAGACCCAAACCCACTGCCATCGCGCCCATCCCGATGGACAGCAGTCCTGTGGGACAGGACTGAACTGCCCCTGGGGGTTTCCGAGGCCAACTCTTTACAGGAGTGGAGTCTCCTCTTTCCCCCATGGGCAGTTGGCGGCTTCAAACAGCTGATGTTGCTCTTGGCAGCATTACCTTTACACCACAGCACAGGGCTGAGGGGCTAGGAGCTGGGTAGGCCCCACGGCAGGGCGACGGTTGGTTTTCTTATCTGTTGTGGGGGGAAGAGGGGACAGGCTGCTCCCAAAGACATCAGTAGAGGCAATGGGTGCCTGCAACAAGGTCAGCGGTTCAAACCCACCAACCGCTCTGTAGGAGAAAGCTGAGGCAGTCTGCTGACACAGTGATTGACAGTCTCCGAGACCTACAGAGCGGTTCAGCTCTGTCTGGGGGGGCGCCAGGAGTCGGGCTCGATGTGATGGCCCTGGGTTTGGGTTGGGGGTTGGGGGCACAGAGAATTGACCACTTGGCTAGTATCAGTAAGGTTGCCGGTTCGAACCGCCCAGAAGTATCTTGGGGAAAGGCCGGGGGAGCTGCTTCTGTAAAGTCACAGACACTCAGTGTAGCCGTCCTGCGTGCCACACCAGGGCCACCGGGGGCTGGTGTCGGCTTGACAGCAGCTGGAAAATAGGAATTCCAGAAGGTTCTAGGGGCTGGCCACATCCTAGAGCCACTGCCAGATCTTCCCTGGACCAGCCGTTGGGAAGAACGGTTTTGAACGCACAGTTGTGCAGCTGGTCCATGCCTTCCCTCTCCTGATGTCTGGTCACGCCCCTGCCCCGCTGCACCAGCCTCTCACCGCAAACCCCTCGCACGGACCCCACTGCCACCTTACCTTCAGTGCCCGGGCCTCCTCGCTGCATCCAGCTGGTGAAATGATGATGCAAAGGGCTACCCATCTCAAGAGGCACCACTCTTGGGGAAGCCCTCACCTGCCCAGGTGAGCCTTGTGGCCTGCCATTTCTGGTTGTCTCTGTTCATTTCCAGGGCACAATTCCTGTGCCTCACAATTCCTGTGCCTGCTTATTTGTGTGGAGCCCTGGTGGCATAGTGGGCTGCTGAGCAGTTCAAAACCACCAGCAGCCCCACAGGGG